CTGCCAACATGCCAAAATCCAGGGCAGCCAGTCGCCTACCAGGTGGGGCCAGATTTTTGAACTACCAGTCCTCCAAGTTCTCCACCCAGTGAAAGCAACAGAGATGGCAGACCTGGGAGGAGGCAATTCAGAAGCACCGGGCTGGCAGCCTGTGTTCCAGCTACTGAGCCAGATCACTGCCTAAATGCACTTTGCAGGATTGGGTTCCATCAAGCCCTGGCCAGATGAAGCCCAGGAACAGCTTGCCCTCCAGGTTACTTAAGCCTAGCTGGTTCACCCAGTTTGTATGGCTAGCATGCTTCTGTGAGCCTGGACCCAGTTATTGAAGCTGCCTCTGATCTTTGCTATTGGAGCCATAAGAGCAACGATAGGGTGATGTTTTGGCCTGCATGTCCTACTTCTAGGCCTTCCAGGGCATTTGTGATTGCGCTGTACATGTCATTAATTAGAATGGTTTAATGTTACTCTGTGTTAGTGTCATAAGGTCTCATATTCAGTCCTTGGCTATTTCACTTAATGGAGGAAAGAAAACAGGACTGAGAGAAGCCTGTTCTTGCAGCCCTTGGAGCTGTGGTCCCTACTGGACTAGATGCTCTGGTTCTATATAAGAAGCTCCTTCTATTATCACACTACATTTTGCTGTACCCAAATCACTTGATGTAATCCTATGCATGCTTATACAGGAATAATCCAGACTGAACTCAGTAGGATTTACTTCCAAGTAAACATGCACAGGAATGGCCTGCAATGGCACTAATTAGGGATACTGAGGACTAGATTAATGGTACCCTTTGCTTGCATTGTAGAAAAAGAAACACAAAGTGGAAATGGTGTCTTTGAGAGGGTCAGCTTCTATTAGTCAGAATGGACAAGCTTTGGATCTCTCTGTGGAAGGAAAGAAAATTATGACTACCTCAACTGCCTTGCATCTGTATCCTCTTAACCTTTAGAAAACCATTTGCAGAATCATGATGCAGATACTAGTTGAGGAAATTTATTTCCCTTGGGGCTTTTCTCCTGAGGAGAGGGTATGTCACTGTCTTTTACATGTATTAGCCTCAGGCTATTGGGGTATGATAAAGAAAGATTCATTACAAGCTAACAGCAATGTTCCTAGCTTTATTTCCAAGTCTATAATGACAAGCTGGAGTAGGGTTGCCAATTGCCTGGGGTGAATGCCCTGTCCCTTTAATAGCGGTTTAATGGGATGGTGTTTACCAGGTGATCTTAGGGTTCCAGTCCTTGGCTAGCAATCCCCAGGAGCTTTGGGGGAGGCTAGGCATTGCATGGTGTTATTTAATGCCACAAAATTATTTTCAGTCATGGAACCAGAAGTTACATCAAGCATTGCTGTGACACTCTAGGAATATCCCAGTCTATGGTTTTACCACAGAGATATGAGGGATTGCTAGACCAGGACATTGCAGTGTCACCACAGTTGCCTTCTCCCTGCCACATTTTTCTGCTGCTGCACCAGGAGACATGGTCTACCTAGGCTCTGCTTACACACGCAACACATCTGCCACCGGGCCGCATACCATGAAACGCATCAGTCGCCCATTTCTACACATTAAGCCTCTATTAAAAGGGAAAGGACATTTTTCTCCAGACCTGTTGGCAACCTTAGTTGGGGGGTGGGCTGGCTATCCAATTGCTCACTATCTCTCTCTCTGATATTATCTAAGTTCTCAGGGGCTCGAGCAGGATCATTTCTCTCCCTGCCCTTTCTGTTAACTTCATCTCAGCTGTTCTCAACATGCCATCCCTTCTGAAGCATTTTCAGTCCTCATTTGGCTGGTTCGGAGGGGAGGTTTCTCCTCTTTTTCTTAATTTACACAGTCATCTTTTTTCTGCACACCTGGGAAATCTCTGAGTAGAGATGAGTGGTTCCTTCCACTTGTGCAGCTTCTCTATGCAGGCTGCAGAGTGATGGTTCTCACTGGAAGGGCAGCATTGCAGACACACACAGCGGAGTCTGAGGGTGGGGGGGAGGGGGCAATGCTATGTGTAAGTCCCCATGTGACTTTAATGGAGACTAGTCCTAATACACCTAGGCCTGCAAAAATCATCAGCCTTAAAAGCAGCCATTTTGGTTTTCATTTCCAGAGGGACACAACTTTCCTACTTCCAGCACAGATAAGGTGCTTTCTGCAGAAACGAAACTGGAAATTCTCAAGGTGATAACAAATCAAGATCTGTTTTCCCATTATAAAACTTTGTTATTTTATCTTTGGCGATAAAATTTGGCTGTCAACCTCTGATAAATTGATTCAAAAGTTATATAAACTTTTGTTATATGATGTCATGCAGGAGGAAATAATCAAGCCATCAATGATAACATGGATGCAGGATATAGAACATAGTCTGGATATAGATGTCTGGTCAAAAATATGGAAGGCTGTCAAACTTTTAAGATCAACATCTTATAAAGAAAATATTTTTAAAATGTTCTACAGGTGGCACTGGTCACCAGATAAAATGGCTAAATGCTATAAGAGGTGTCAGGAAACTGTTGGAAATGTAAAAATAACGTGGGTACCTTTTTCCATATGTGGTGGCGGTGTGAAAAGATCTATAAATTTTGGAAGGGTATTAAACAGTTAATAACAGAGATTATGGGCATTGAATTGCAGCTAGTACCAGAAATCTATTTACTTAATATAATACCAGATGGATATAGGCATGATGAACTATGTATTTTGTCATATATCCTTACTGCAGCCAGGATATTGGTTGCCAAGTGTTGGAAATCTGAAAACCTACCTGCTAGAGAGGAGTTGATTATAAAAATCTGTGATGTGGCAGAAATGGACAAGTTGAACATGATTCTTTCAGGTAAAGAGGATAAGGCTTTTCAAAAAAGATGGTTTAGAGTTAATAAATGGTTGGGGGGAAATGCGGAACTCCATAAATATATTTCATATACAAAATATTGTTACTTTTCTATTTGGTTTTTATTTTTATGCTTACTTTCTTTTTGTGGTTTTTTAATGAAAATTATAAATATTGTTATCTTTTTTGTGTGTGTAATGGAAAATCATAAATAAATTTGTAAAAAAAAAAACCAAATCAAAAGAGGTCCCACACCGGGCTTAAAGCAAACAAAAGCAGTGAGTGGCTCACTGTAGCAAACAATGACTGGTTCTGTATGTATGTTTTGTATACAGATCGCCTTGAACCAAACTTGGGAAATGTGTGGTGTTCAAAATGATCACTTCAGGTGCAGACTTTTGAGCTGCCTTATACTGAATCAGACCAATGGTCCATCAAAGTCCGTATTGTCTACTCAGACTGGCAGTGGCTCTCCAGGGTCTCAGGCTGAGATCTTTCACCTGGTCCTTTTACCTGGAGATGCCAGGGATTGAACCTGAGACCTTCTGCATGCTAAGCAGATGCTCTGTCAGTGAGCCACAGCCCCATCTAGCCCCATTTCTGAGGTTACTGATTGTAGGCTATGTGGGCTATTGCTGCTGATCTCTGCCCAGTCTTCATGGCAAACTGAAGGAGTTGCAGGGCCCCAATCACTTGTCTATATAAAGCACTTTATTGATTGGGATCTTTTCTCCTGTGAATGCAATGAATACTGTTCTCTAGTGTTGCTTTTCCCAGTTTAAATACCCTCCCCTCCACACACACACTCTCTCTCCACATGGGAGTCAGGGAAGGAAATACTCCTCACTTGTCCATTCCATAATACCCTGTAGTTAGGCTCCAATCCTTGCTCCTTGGGAGGAAAGCGATGGTGAACCTAAACAGCATGATAAAAAGTAGAGACATCACCCTGCCAACAAAAGTCCGCATGGTCAAAGCAATGGTATTCCCAGTAGTCATGTATGGCTGCGAGAGTTGGACTATAAGGAAGGCCGAGCGCCGAAGAATAGATTATTTTGAACTATGGTGCTGGAGAAGACTCTTGAGAGTCCCTTGGACTGCAAGAAGAACAAATCAGTCAATCCTCAAAGAAATCAACCCTGACTGTTCCCTGGAAGGCCAGATAATGAAACTGAAGCTCAACTACTTTGGCCACCAAATGAGAAGGGAGCACTCACTGGAGAAGACCCTGATGCTGGGAAAGATTGAAGGTCAAAGAAGACGGGGACGGCAAAGGATGAGATGGTTAGATAGTGTCATCGATGCAACGAACATGAAGTTGAGCAAACTTCAGAGGATGGCGGAAGACCGGAAGGCCTGGCGGGAGCTGGTCCATGGGGTCGCGTCGGACTCGATTGTGCGACTAAACAACAACAACAAGGCTCCAATGTAATCCACTACTTTCATTATTGCCCACCTAGCAGCACAGAACAATTGCCCAGGTAAAGCTAAACATTCTTGTTGATTACATCTCTGTGGCGGTCTCTTGCCAGCCCAAGGAGGAGGCATAGTCTGTCACCTCCCAAACAGGCTCTGCTGCCCACCTGTCTGCAGCTTTATGGGAGAAATGGCAGGTGGACTTTAGACAGAATATATGTATTTCTGAAGTGGTATAAACAGCACAGAAAAGTTGAAATTTAATTGGAAAGTGTGGGCGAGTATGTGCGCGTGTGAGAAGCTTAGCAATGCGAAGGGGCCACTCATCGAAATGCCAGGACTGAGTAGCCACTGCTGCTGCCCTTAAAGGGAAGCCCGTCTTGCCTCCTCTTCCCCCCCCTCCCTCACCGCTGCTGCCATCATCATCATCACACTTCCTCTCCTTCATTAGTAAGTCGACGGAAACAAGTGATGGCCGGGTGAGTGTGAGGAGGGCTTTCTGATGACTGGAGAATTTTTGAGGCGTTCTTCAACTTCCTCTGCTCCAAGAAGTCTGACTAACCCTTTACGGAGCGTCGCCTCTCTGCTCCGTCCCTCTTCCTGGGGGAGGGAATCTCCCCTGCCTCTAGCCGAGCGGGCGTGACCCAGAAGAGTGGGGCGGGTCTTTTCGGGACCGTTCCTCTGACGTCGACCGCCTTATATGGACACGGCGGCGCGGCTCCGGCGTTTCATTCAGATAAATTGCCTCTTCTTGTAAACGGAATCCCCTGGCTGAGTCCGTCCGGGGAGGGAAATGCGAAGGCTGGGAGGGGCGCCGGGCGATCGGAGCCAGGAGGGGGCCTGAAGGAAACGGTCTGGCGGTCCCTCTCCGGATCTCTCTTGCTTGCTTGCCCAATAAAAGGTCTCCCGCCCGCCCCGGCCCCGCTCGGTGGACTACCAGACCCGGAGCGCAGTCTGAGAGCAGCCGCCTGACCGAGGCGAGTCCTGGTCCTGCGCCGGCCCCGAAGCCGCGATGAAGGTAACCTCGCTGGACGCCCGTCAGCTGAAGCCGCTGCTGCGGAAGGAGCCCGCCCGCTGCCTGGTGCTGGATTGCAGACCCTACCTCTCCTACTCGGCCTCCTGCCTCCGCGGCTCGCTCAATGTCAACCTCAACTCGGTCGTGATCCGCCGGGCCCGCGGGCGACCCGTGCCTCTGCACTTCGTGGTGCCCGACGAGACGGCCCGAGGGCGGCTGCTCCTGCCGCCGGCGTGCCCGGGCGAGAGGGAAGGGGACGGGGGGCCCTCTCTGCGGCTGACGGCGGTGATCGTCCTCGACCAGAGCACGCGGCACTGGCGGAAACTCAAGAAAGACAGCACGGCTCAGATCGTCCTCAACACGCTGCTGGCCAGCCTGCCCGAGCCCGGCGCCCGCGTCTGCTTCCTGAAAGGTGAGCGGCAGCCGCAGCCCGCGAACAAAAGGGAGGGCGAAGGAGAGGCCGGGGCTTGGGGCAGGGTCGAGGCGTCTGGGGTCAGGGCGGCGGGGATTGGGGCGGCTTCTCCTGGGGCAGACGGGCTGAAAAGTTACCCCTCTAAAAATCCCATGCTGACCGGCGTCGCTGCCTTAGACGGCCAGCACTCGGGAAGAGAGGAACTGCGGGGCGAAGGGGAACTCGTCGCCCCCGACTTTTGCTGTTTTCTTCTATCTTTCTTTTTACCGTGGTCGTATGTCCGGACTTCGAAGGGTGCCTTCCCGACCGACTCTGCTTTCAGAAGGGCCCCCTCTCTAGAGGCCACACATCCTTGCCTGGAATCGCTCAGGGTCCCCCTGCTAGAAACCTGGAGGTCCCCCTCGAGGGCTGAAACTTCGTCCCCATGTAGGGGTCACTTGGATATAGGTGGGCTAGGCAGGAAAGCTTGCAGAGAGGTCTGATCGACGGGCTTTGGCAGGCGAGTGGCTTCCTCGAGCGAAAAATACCTTGCCAGGGCAGACACTAGCGGGGAGGGCATTGCTACGGCTATAAACAATGGATAAATTGATTGGATTTAGGCCGTCCCCTTCCCCAAAATACTCTCTTTCACCCACTGTCTAGGCAGGAGTGGTGGAAATCTGGTGACTACAGGGAAAAGCTTCCATCTGGAAGAAGCATACCTTAATTCTGAGTACTCACCTTAGCAATTGATACCCATTTTAAGTTCCTAGTGGGGCCAAAGAAGTCAGATGGCTGATCAGGTTAATTGTTCACCGATGGTTAATCGAAAACTGAGCTTTTGACTTGTCAGAACATCACAGTTGCCTAAATACCACGCGGATATGTAAAATGGATTTAGCAGGGGGATAACTCAGCAGTGCCCTCCAAAGGGCAGTTTGTCCATTAATTCTGAAATGAAATATGCAGCTCTATAGGTCTGCCTGGATAAATTCTGAGACTGCTGGATGCCTAACAAGTGACCAGTTGCTTTCTGGTGTGAAAAAAGCACAGTTACCAGTGTTTCCTCTAAGCTGAGTTGGTGTGAACTAGCTCAGTTTTTCTAGCCTCCGGCTCACAGGTTTTTGTCTTAGGAAGGATGGCTCCTGAGTAAATTAATTTATGCAGTAGCCAGATCACTTGCTCACAACTTTAATGCCGGTAGCTCACAAAGTAGGATTTTTGCTCACAAGACTCCACAGCTTAGAGGGACCATTGCCTGTTACTAGGGCTAATTTAAGGCACTGTTGGTCCTAGTCTTCTACTGTGCTTCCCCTTCCCTAATGGACTACGGTGGTGCTGGCACCTTTTTTGTCTCCTTCTATGTACTTTGAAAAATCTGAGTCTTCCTTTGAGCACAAAACATCTGCGGAGATCAATTCAAATGCACTCTGCTCTCTTTGCATACTTCACAGTTTATCAAATGTTTTATAGCACTGATCAATTTGAGGTGTTGGGTACCGGAGACTTGTGGCCAGTGCCTATAGACTTATGTGGGGTGAGTGAGGATATCAGTAAAATCTGGCATTCTTTAAGCAGCCAGTCTTGTAAGAATTTTTTCATTCCTGATTCCAAATTCACAGAGGAAATGCCCTGTACGAAATCAATTTCTCATCTTGGATTGACATCTGACCCTGGGAAATACTGGGCAACTAATTTTAGCTAATTATTCGGTCAAAACCCTTTTCCAATGTATCCCTCTGAACTATATAGCGCTAGATGCAGTTTATTTTAGGCCATCCTGGGAAGCAGATAGCAATCTCGCGTGGTTTTTAAAGTGCTTTTAAAGAACCCAGCAAAAATGCCACACAGTGCAGTGTCATAGGAGAATATGCTGATTGCGCCCGAGCCGGAATGTGTCCCAGTGTCACATAGTGTTAGATAGAGTGCTATGTTATTGCCCAGGGCTGTATTTTTCTTCTTGAAATAAGATGTATTGGTAGACATATTTCAGTATCAAGCATTCTTGAGACTCAGCTAGGTTTTTAGTCTGGGCTGACTGGTTTTCACTAAAAGTAACAGAAGATTCCTAGGGTTTCTCCCGAGGGTTTTATCTGTACAGCATGACGTGAAAGAGAGAATTCACTGCTGAATGGAATGAAGCAGCTAAGTGGGGTTGGGCTTCGGCAGTTGCAGTGAGATAAAGGCATGAGTCAGACTCAGAACTCGTCACCTACCACAGACGTAGTCCAGCTCTTCAGGGAATTGCTTTTTCTGCTCAGTGACATAATCCTTGTCAGGTTCCCCCCCCCCCCCCCCCAAATTTTGAAAGCTTCCCTCATGTCTTAGTTCAGTGTCTCTGATCTTATACATGTGCAGATGCTGCAGGTTTATCCTGTTTTTACAGGAAAACCTATAGGTTGCATTCAGTGTTCCACTAAGCTGAATTAGTGTGAGCTAGCTCACAGTTTTTTAGCCTCCAGCTCACACATTTTTGTCTTAACTCAGGAAGGATGACTCCAGAGCAAACTCATTTATGCAGTAGCCAAATTGCTCACTCACAACTTTAATGCCAGTAGCTCACAATGTAGAATTTTTGCTCACTAGACTCCACAGCTTAGAGGGAGCATTGGTTGCATTATCCCCTGATGTGGGAATGAGGTACCCAGACTTAATGGAGCCACGTCTAGGTTGTGTTCTTTTAAAAACCATAACCATATATTTCTGACAAAGTCATCCTTGCCCAAAGGTGCCTGTACAAAGGAGCGATGACACCATTTCTCCTAAATGTGTACGTGGGTTATAATTCCCTTTCTAACACTCTGAAATCAGTTTTCTCCATGGGGGGGGGGGAGAGAGAGAAGATGATGGGCCTCAATATTGTTTGTTGAGAGCTGTCTAGTTCTTCTGCGATCTACCCAGAATGTTAAGAATTCATAGCGAGAATGAAGCTTGTTTCTCTAACAAGATGAATAACGCAGCATTGAGCAGCAAAGGAGTTTAGAGGGAGAACAAGCCTGGGAGCAACCTGGAAAACTTGGTGAAAAGGTGACTCATTTTAAGAACTGCCTGCAAATCTCCTGATTCTCAGTGGCTTCTGGCTCCCATGCACCTGTTTTGCACAAGTGCCATCCATCCAAGAGAAATGAGTGGAATACAGAGACTGTGTTTTCCCGTGGGCTGGCTTCCTTGTTTGGTCATCTGTGAAAACATGGGCATATAAATGGAGAGAACAGTTAAATAATACATAAAAGTTCTATTGACAAAGTGCCAGAAGATCAACAAAGGGGATTTGGAACGCAGTGCGGGACTGTTCCACGGCAAGTGGGAAGCCTGAGGGTGTAGACTTTCCAATTTCCGGGGGGGGGGGGCGGGGGCGGGGCCTGGGCCAGAGGCATTGCTTTGGTAGGAGCAAGGGTGGCTCCCGGGGGAGGCTGAGCACCTTCCTGAAAATTTCGGTGGGGGCTGAAGCCCCGCCGCCCCAACGAAGATTTCGCCTATTTGGTGTACCAGGAATTTTAGAGCCCATTTAGCTAACCGAATCATTCTGAAATAAGCTCTCTCATGCAGGGAGTAACCCGGCCCTCCCTCACCTTGCCTTGTGTCAGTGTCTACTGTGTGGTAAAATGATTGTATGGTCTCAGTGCTCTTTAAAATTTTGTGCTTTTGTGGTCTTTTTAGTTATATTTACATGGTAGTTGGTGAAGGGTGGGCTGGGATATTTAAAATGTGAAAACCTAAAGGTTTCACTATGGATAGATAGAATCTCATTTATACAATATCATTGCTGAAACCTACTGATGTGTAAAATTACTTTTTATTGGCTTTATATTGGCTAATGTTCCCTCACTGTCAGTATCCTTGTAAGAATGTTTTGACATTTCATGGACATAGTAATTAATGAAATCGTCTGTGTTCATGGTCAGAAGCACAAGTGTATTGGTCTGGTTTCCTATATGAATTTCTGACTCCTGCAGGAAGGTCTAAATAGTATAGAAATATGCACAAGATAGCTTGTGTTTTAAAGCACATGCTTATGCAAGGTACACATATTATAGTCTAGTCAACATTGAGCTCTGAGCTCCAAGTTAAGAAGTGGATACATTCATTTTCATTAATTGTTCAATGAACTTGGCAAGTAATCTATTTAATGGTGCAAAACTGCTCATCTGGGGCTTTTTAGATGTATCAGCCAATTATAGGGTTTCATTACATTTTATAGCCCTTAATGGATCCATTTCATTTGCCAGTATGCAAGAGAATGAAAGTTATTAATCAATGTATAACAAAACAACTCCTCTGAATTTGCATTTTCTTAAATGAACATGAAATAGTCTGTATAGAAACACCCAGAAAACAGATGGAAGAATCTACCAGCATTGGTTTTCATCGTTTTAAACAGATTCAACAGATTTCCATTTATAAAGAACTGTGATTGCAGATACCTTTAACAAAGTGACAACAGGACTTCTGTCTCTTCTTTGTCCCTGAATAGTTTCCGTTTTAAGTAAAGCATCTTATGAAATGGCCCTTACAGTGCATTTATTATCCCACAATTATATTTAGTGATCCAGCAATAAGTGACCACCCCCTAACTATCCTAATACTCTATTTTTTCTTTTTCCTTCTTTTCTCCCCTAGGAGGATATGATACCTTTTATTCTCTGTACCCTGAGTTCTGTGTAGATGTGAAGCCTGTGTCCCAAGAGAGAACTGAAACAGAGAGAAGCATCAATAGCCACTATGAGAAGCAGTGCCTCCACCACAAACCAGCATATGATCAGGTGTGTTTAGGGGAAGATATGACTAATCCTACCCACGCTTGGGCTCCTTGGGGGACTCTTTCCGTCATCATCCTGTGCACAACGGACTGGTTCATACTTTTATTCATGTCTGGCATTGTGACAAAAAAAAACACCAGAATGCATGCTTGGGTTGTTACTTATTCCAGCCTGTTCATTTACTTCTGCTGGCATGTTGAACAGGAAAGGGAAATCTAAAGTGCTGTATAAACAAACACCATTAGTGGACTCCCCCCCCCCCCTTTTCAGTCATGCATATATTTCCAGAGGAGTAAAGCTGGGGAGTTATAATTCTAGCTGGTGCACAAGGGTTGGTTAATTGGAGAAACAGCATATGGATGCCCTATAGAGTTAATATCAAAGGTCATAGAATACCAATGGCCTTTGTTTGCAAGCAGGGTGTTATTCCTCTGCTGCTGGGCACTCCCCCATGCACCAAATAACTATAAATACTTGGATATGTGAGCATTCTGAGCATGCATTAGTGCCCATACATACTTTAATATTTCAAGCTTTTGAGGGGGTCTGCTCGCTTACCTTTGTGATGTGGGTTTAGCAGATCATAAGACATGGCCATGAGTGCATTTCAGAAATATGTATAGTTTGAGAAATCACAAATGCAGGATTCAGTATCCCCAAAATCTCAGGCTACTTAAGGTTGTCTAGAGCTACTTATGGTTGATTTAGAAGCATGTGAGGAATAATTGCCCCTTGAAATCCCAGGAGCTAGAGGGGTTGTCCTGACCTCGATATCCCAGACTAGCCCAATCTTGGAAGTGAAGCAGGGACAGCCCTGGCTAGTATTTGGATGTGAGACCACCAGAGAAGTCCAGGGTTGCTGTGCAGAGGCAGGCAATGGCAAATCACCTCTGAACATCTCTTGCCTTGAAAACCCTTATAGGATCGCCATACATCAGCTACAACTTGACAGCAAGGGGGGGGGGGGCTAAGAGACCACAGGGGCAAGGCTATGTCATCCATAACCACCAAGTATAATTTGAATAACTTGTATACTCTTGAATTGCAGCATTCCAAGGTTCTTGGTAAAATGCCACTCTTCACAGTGACAGGTGGAATCTAGTTTATTGTGTCAGTTTTTTTAAAAAAAAAACTTAGCCAGCTCCCTGACCTAAGTGGTATCAGCATCCTGGCTATGTTCTGGAGGATGTCTTTGTCATGCATGCCACCATATCCTAAGATTGTTTACAAGATTGCAGCAATAGAGTGCTTATCAAACTGCTCAGACTAGTTCATGACTTCCTGCACCTATTCTGGAAGCTTTCTAGGCATTGTGTGCTGCTGCTTTATTCTTTCCTCCCACTATGCATACCTGTTTCTGGGGCTTACTCTTCCTCTCCTGATAATGAATGTCTAGTTTTCTTTGAAAGTAAACAAACCTGATTTTAAAAATATATAAAAGGGAAATGCTCTGGACATGTTACTGTGGGATAAAGTGCCAAGAAATACAAAAGTGGTACGTTTGTCTTTTTTCTTTATAAGGTACCTACTTTGGTACCCAAAGACGATATGTTTTTCAGGCCTGGTCACTGACTAGCCAGCACTGAACATTTCCAGAATATGCTTCTCTTTCCTGCTTGAGGTTCCCTCAGACTTCTCCCTCCTCTCACAAGGTGGGAGAACATAACCCTAGTAAGGCACCAGGGGTGGCTGACAGAAAAGCTTGAGAGAGACCTGTGATTCTGATGTGGTTGGGGCAGGGCTGTGGGCCTCCATGTTGCTGCTGCTTTAGGATATGAAGCTGGCTTGAAGTTGGAGGAGGCAGTGTGTAAACAGATGCCATCTGTCACCCTGTGATTTTTAATTAGTCAGGCATGCAAAAAAGGTGTTGTGCTATGTCCAGCTGCACATTTGTCTTCCAAATGGAAACTAAATGTCAATAAGGTACCTTTGTGCACTCTGAAGGTTCTGACTAAACTACCCTGTGCATAAGGACATCACGCAAGGCCTCAAAATCATAAGAGATTTGTTTTTAGCACAATGCTTTTACATTGTCCTCCTTTATATTTCTTGTTTTGTTGCATCTTGTTGAAGAAGGGTAATTGTAAAGGTATTTTGGGATACTGTTGGGAGGGGGGAAGGTGTGAATGGAGTGGATCTGATTCCATCCTGTAGAATGTAAAAGAGAAAAGGAAAGTGCCCCCTCCCTTTGCAAACACTGGCTTGTATCCTGCTGCTCTGCTCAGCAAAGATCAGTCTCCCTTCAACAGACATGGGTCATGGGGTTGCCAACCTCCATGTGGGGCCTGGAGATCTTCCACAATTATAGCTGATCTCCAGCTGACAGAGATCAGTGCCCCTGGCTGTTTTGGAGGATGGACTGTATGGCATTGTACCCTGCTGAGGTCCCTCCTCTTCCCAAATCCCGCCCTCCCCAGGCTCCACCCCCAAAATCTCCAGGTATTTCTCCACCCAAAACCGGCAACCCTACTGTGATTTTCAGCAATATTGTACTTCTGCTTGACTGAGTTTGTGTTGGTCAGTCACAGCTCTGAGCTGGAGCACTGCTCAACTGAAATCTGTATGTTGAGGGGAAAATCTCCATTCTTATAAGTGCTGCTCCACCTGGCCAAGCAGAATCAAAACAGAAGGCGATAAGTAGCAGCTTTAACATCTACAACAGAAACTGCCTTTCTTGTGCAATTCTGGATGGGTGACCATGGTAGCCTGTGGCAGCAAAATAAAACATGAGTCCAGTGGCACTTCAAAGACCAGTTTATTCCAGCATCAGCTTTCATGAGTCATAGCTCACTTCATCAGATGCATGACATGTAAAGCCACAGGATATATATTTCTGTTTCCCCATGCATCTGAAGAAATGAGCTTTGTTTTGCACAAAACTTAAATAGTTAGTCTCTTAAGGTGCCAGTGTAGTCCTATTTCATTTTGTCCCTCTTGCTAGGTACTTCCCATTTGGATTCCCTTACTGATTTAGGAGGGTGTCTGGCTACCAAATTGGCATTCTCCACTTGTTCAGCTGAGGCAATGAAAAGCTGTGATTATGTTTGGTTCCTTACCTTCCAGGGTGGCCCAGTGGAGATCTTACCTTTCCTGTACCTTGGCAGTGCCTACCATGCTTCTAAGTGTGAGTTCCTAGCCAATCTGAACATCACTGCACTCCTGAATGTTTCCAGAAAGAGCTCAGAGCCCTTTACAGATCAATACTGCTATAAATGGATTCCAGTAGAGGATAACCATACAGCAGACATCAGTTCTCACTTTCAGGAAGCTATAGACTTCATTGGTAAGTTCTCTATATTTTGCAAGTCGAAGAATACCCACCTGTCTCTAACTGTGCTACTTCAGAGTATTTGAGCTTAAATAAATAGGATTACTTCAGTATATATATGGCTTGAAGAATAGTTTGTCCTTCTTTGGTGTTGAAACATGCCTGTGTCCCTTCATTCCATGTAGGTTCCACCACAGGCATTGATCAGAGGAGGCCACTGTAACATAGGGTTGCCAATTTCCTGGTGGTGGCTGGAGATCTCCTGGAATTACAGCTGATCTCCAGACTATGTCAATCACTTTATTTGTTTAAAGCATTTGTTTAACTTCTCCTGGATAAAATGTCTGCTTTAGAAGGTGGACTGCTTGCCGTTATACCCTCCCTTCCCTAAACCCCACTCTACCAGGCTTCACCCTCAAATCTCCAGGTATTTCCAAACCCAGAGTTGGCAACCATACTGCAACATGACAACATTCGTACACTGAAGTCACTTGTCTGAATGTCATATGTACTTTGGCCCCTAAAGCTTATGTTGAGGAGCAGTCTACATGGGACCGAACTCCCAAATTTGTTCAATTTGTACATAAAAGGGAGGTGGGTTAAAATGAATATGAAAGAGGGATACTGATTTTCCCCCACCCCAATTCCTTACTTTGCCTTAATACTGAGTTTCCCCCACCCCAATTGCTTACTTTACCTTAGTACAGAAGTTCACAGATTTCAGCATCCCAAGGATTTTCCCCCATTCTGATTTTAGAAAATTCTTGATATTCAAACCTTCTTTCTCCCTCATGGGTACCTATCACATAGCAGGCAGTCCCTTTTGAAAGAATGTGCAGCGAACCGCATATGCCCCATGGAACCTTCTGTCTTCTCATGTCAATGAGACCCTTATCAGCTTACACTTTAAAAGCAAGTTTGAGAAAAATGTTTTTATTGCCTGTATATGGCCTGCTAGGTCAGGTCTCAGAAGGCAGTCGATTCTATCAGGCCACAGCTCGAAAGGCTCAAGATCTGAGCAGCCTCACTCCTTGACTGGCAGCATGTGTACCAGAGGCAGTAAGACATTGCCATATTGGGTAATAACTTCCAGCTGGAGACCAGCTGAACAGGAATCAGAAGGACAAGGAAACGTCTGAAGTGCTGCTCATAGAATAGAAAAGACCAGCATCACATGGAAACCAGTATTTTCCTGAAAACTGCCATTGGGTTAGCTATGTATGCAGAGTGATGTCTGTAACCATATGCTGAAATCCTTTCCATTGGAAAATGGAGTGAAAACCAGTTTGGTTTTGTACTGGAAGTAACTATGGTGACTATGTTAGATAGAGCTTTGTACCTTCTTGATGCCAGTCAGCCAATTAGAGTTCCCGGGGCTGACACATTGGTTCCCAGCAACTGATCATCATGTTTTCTAGCTGGTACGTGGCAGCGATCTAGAAGCTGGGTGATTGCTGGTGGCATGCTCTATGAGCTCTTCTTTGAAAGTGGGTGGGGGGGACTATTCTGCATCTTGTAGACCCCTGTGTGGGGAACATGGACTTGGTCTATTGAGCCAAGCACTTCCCACCCTGGCTGCAGCAGTGCCTAGAGCCATGGGATGAGGGAAGGGAAGGTGTGGGAGGGAAGACTCCTTTGTGGCTAAAATAAAATCATGTGTTCCCTTCCCACAGGTTCCTTTTTGCTTTTAAATACCTCCCTCTCCTTTACATAGGAACAGTTCAGGTACATGAAAGGAAACTGCCGATGTTACATCTAGCAGAACAGAGATGTGTAGTCCACTGGAAAAGTAGAATTCTGTTTTCTAAGTAGTACAATATGTCCCTGTACCCTCATGGTACTGGTTAGATGTTAATTAGATTAGTAGCCTAGAAATTTACTAAAAGGGGCTACCGTGAGACGTGTGTGCAGCCAAGCTGCAGACTCCAAGCTATTTGAAGTAGTGTAACACCTCGTAAATAGGAAATATGGGGTTGTTGCCAAGAATGCCCGGTGCATGTAGGCGGTGGAGGAAAGGGCCGTCAAGTCCCAACTGACTTATGGTGACCCTACAGAGTCTTCAAGGCAAGAGGCAGTCAAAGGTGGTTTTCCACTGCTGGCCTCTGCATCATGACCCTGGTATTCCTTGGAGGTCTCCCATCCAAATGCTACCCAGGGCCAGCCCCCGCTTAGCTTCCAACATCTGATGAGATCAGGCTATCCAGGACTCAGGGCAATATATGTCGAGAGGGCAAGATTGTTGAAAGAAATTATTGTCTACCTGCTTGCGGCAGAAAGACTGTGCTGCGGGACCTATGAATATGAACAGTGCAGCTGCACCGTGCTAATTATTATTTTTGCAACAAGACATTTGTGGGTTCTTTGCTATTTTTAAAAAACTTGAAAGCCTACAGATGGCTCAAGGAGCCTTATTTCATTTTCCCCCCTTTCATTGGTTTGTGTGACCGTTTGTTAGCATGTCAGGCTCTGAGCAGAATACAGCATGTCCTGTCCATCTAAATGATCACATTTCACAGTAAGAAGAAACTTGGGAATGTATTTCTCATGCCTGCCAAAGCAGGACAAATTCTATTTTTAATCCACACATTTTACACAAGGAGCTTTTTTTCAGCATTTTCTTTTAAAACTTATAACAATAATTGAATTGTGAGTAACCTCAGGCCTCCCATTGCGTAAAATGATAGTTCTGCCTAAGCCATTTATAGCCTGATTTAAGTCCAAGTGCCATTTATCAAACGTTATAATTAGAGATTTTAGACTAGTTTATTGTGCACTTTGTGGTGGAAACCCCAGGAACCTGGGACGCAACATCCCTGCTTAACATGCATGCTGAGTGGCTCCCAAAAGAGCCCACAAGGCGGGGACAAAGGCAGCACCTTTCAGGTGCTTAGCCAAGGAGAAAATGAGCACATCTCATCAGATTGGAAGGGAATATGCTGCAAGCCCACACCTTTTGCCACCACTCTGTGTAGCTTGTGAAAAGAACCTAACTGTGTTCTAGTTCTTTTGTGGTATTGTGATGTGGTAGTAGTTCTCTTATTACACATCTGCTACTATTCAGCTAGATGTGGGTGAAGAAAACCTCTTACCTTTATTGAAACTAATTAGTCTACTACACAGCCCCAAAGATTTGGTATTTGTTTAAATGTGGGACGCACTGTGTCACGTTTGGTGGATGTCATGAAGTTTTATTCTTCAGCATTCTGACTAACTCAATTTATGAAACTCTTTTGTGAAATGGGTTTTGAAATGAGATTTGAGAAATTATTTGCATACTCATAAGGGTCTTTTCACTTGCCTACCGGATGCTCTGCCAACTTATACATGTTACCATGACATTTTTAAACTTGGCTTCATATCTGTGAAAGCCAGAATTGAGGGGGGAAATACAAAACTTGATATATCCTACATGAAGTACCTTGTCTATTACTCATTCTAAAAGTATCAAAATGCAAATAGTTTTTCAGTTCTGTTTGAAATACTCTCAGTGGCATCTGTGTGTAATGAAAATTGATCTCTTGAACCTTTTATTTCTTCTTAGACTGCATCAGACGGGCCGGGGGCAAAATCTTGGTGCACTGCGAAGCTGGAATTTCTCGCTCTCCCACGATCTGCATGGCTTATCTCATGAAAATGAGAAAGTTCCGTCTGGAGGAGGCTTTTGATTACATCAAACAACGTAGGAGTCTGATCTCACCAAACTTTGGTTTCATGGGCCAGCTGCTGCAGTATGAGTCAGAAATACTGTCTTCAACACCCAGCCCTCCTGTCGCCTCTTGCAAAAGGGATGCTGTGTCTTTCTTTACTGAAGAACTCTCCTTGAGTAAAAGTTTTGAAGGCTCCTGTTACACTTTTCCTACCTCAGTTTTGAATTCTGTACCAATTCACTCACCCGTCCATCAGCTAAAACTTAATCCTATTGCTGCAACTTCATCTTGCTGGACTCTTCTGGGAGCCAGGGACAATACAGTCCAGTGAACCCAGCAGAGATGACCAGACATTTCATCAACATGCAATACAGACGATCTCATGGATTTCATCCCAGATGAGATGTTTTTGATTTGAAGGGCCATCTCCTGCAGGAAGGAAAAGTATGGCCTTATACTGAGATGCAGTCAAAGTTTGAACCTGCTTGGGCTCAATGTGTAGTTTCAAGGCCTTACCTTGTACTGAGCCAAGCTACTTATGCTCAAATTGACCTAGAAACTGAACTGGAAAACATTCTTCCTTTTCTCAAAAGTAAGTGTCCTTCCTTTTGGAGGAGAAATGTGTTTATGGACACTAGCTAGGTCAAGCTTTCAAAAGACTATGTTTTAAAAAGGAAATACGTGCATCTTTAAGGATGTTCTTAAATAACTTCTGGGATCTGTGTGCATCCACTACTGTACTTCCAGACCATGCTGGAGCAAAGAGAGCTACACACAAAATCAGGCCTGGCCAATTGCTTCTCAGTTCCTGCTGCCTCCTCTTAATTACAGCTTTGTTTTAAAGTGTAAGCAATAAACAGCTGTGTCAGGAAAGTGGAGCTGTAATGAAAAGCACAATTTATGAAAGAAGCAAACCTTGACATTTTAGTGGTGGCAGAAACTTGAATGTTTGCCTTTTCCTGTTTTTATTCCTACACTGCAGGTTACAAGAGGATCAGAAAACATAGGAAGCAAACTTTCCTCTTCCCACACCCATGGGTTCTCCACTGTTTATTACTGTACAACTGGGGTCTATGTCAGAGTTACATTCTTCCCTAGAAGCTTTGTGAGGGGGGGGGGGTTGTAATTTTCTAGGCTATGTAATTTAGGTAGATTTGAGAAGAGCAACTTCTAGATACCCCAAGGCTGCTCAAAACCTGATAGGAGAGCTGCCTTCTGTATCATCCAGGTGAATCCAGCTAGGAATTAAGGCCCCGTATTTGATAGGACACATAGGTCCCATCAAAACTCAGTGGGTTCTTCAAATACATACCTGCTATATTATATTAGAAACTCTGGCACTCTATGACCTGGTCTAAATGATGTACTTATCAAATTTCTGATTGCAGATGCAATGCCTGGTGTTAGTACTTACTAAGAGTGTTGATTATTGGCAAAAATAATATGCACTGCATGGTGTGAAGGTTTTTTTTAAAAAGTTTTTCTATTGTGATGGGCTCCCCGTCCTTCCCTAAGTTGGAGCTCTGGAGGTTCCGTATCCCATGAGACATTGATAACTTTCTAAAGGAAGCTGTAGAGGCCATCATTTGCTCCAGGCCGCAGTTTGGCTCAGGATGTGGAACATTAGGGTTGCCTGTCCCCAGGTCCTGGCAGGGGTTCCCCTGGTTTTTAAGGGCTTCTGCCTGCCACTGGCCAATTGGCTGGCAGGGGAAACCCCACCCCCCAAACAGCCACATCCCCTGGTGACATCCCCAACATGATGATATCCCCTGGAAGTGATCTCATCATGTTGGCGAACTCACAAGAGGCCCTCTGGTTTCAGGGCAAAACTCTATGGTAAATTTGCTCTCAAACCAGAACGTTGCCATGCTGACATGATGACATCACTTCTGGGTGATGTCATCACATTGGGGACAGTGCGCAACATCCCTGTCTTCTCCAGTAATGCCCCCCCAATCCCTCTGCTGGTGACAAGGTAGGACCTGGCAACCCTAGGCAACATGTCTTTTCAGCCTTGTCTCTAAATGGCCTCAGTGCAACTGTTTGGATGAAGAAGAGTATGACCCTGCACACACAGTTCAAGTGATAGCTGACCCAAGAATAGCCAAACTTTAAGCATAGGTGAACTACTGCTTAATTGTTCATGGCAGGCAGTGTGGGAAATGGTCAAATAGAGGTCAGCAGTCCAAACGTGTATATTCTTCCTCTGACTACCTGAGTCCAGTGACCAAAGCACAGCTCATCATAACTCAGGTGCAGTTCAGTCACATCAGTCACTGGGTCATGTGCAGAAATAAGTAGAGAGGACTGCACAGAATATACACAGCCAATAGCTGCAGCCTGTTCCAGACTCAGACCTCTGGTCTATACTTGGGGCAGAGCTGCTTTGGCCTTCAAATAACATACTTTAATTTAGAACAAGTGTAAAATGAAATAACCAGTTTCTCCCAACTATCAAATAGAAATTAGTTATGATTGTAAAGGATTGTTTTAGAACACTCTTATCTAAATTGTGTCCTGCCCAATGTTCCCTCTAAGCTGTGGAGTCTTGTGAGCAAAAATTCTTCTTTGTGAGCTACTGGTATTAAAGTTGTGAGCGAGTGATTTGGATACTGCATACATTAGCTTGCTCTGGAGCCATCCTCCCTGAGCTAAAACAAAAATCTGTGAGCTAGCTCACACTAACTCAGCTTAGAGTGAACACTGGTCCTGTCTATTGCAATTTGAATTACTAGCTGTTAAACAATAAATGGACAAGGGGAGCTTTGGCAGATTCAGTGGCCCTAGCGAAGTGTTATCAATCTGCACATTGTGTAGTCTTGCTGTATGTTGTGTGTGGCTTGCTATTCCGTGTATAGGTCTGTTCCATATCACATTTCCTGGGATGGAATAATTTCACTTATCTAATAGGCTCCTTTTTGTAGGGGCTCTATGTGTCCAGCTTGTGTGTCTGCAAGGAGTTCAGACTGTGTGTGTCTGTCATATTTTTAATATGGGAAATGGCAATAATTGCCTGAAACTTGTGAATGTGAACAAACTTTTTTAAAAATAAAATTTAAAAATAAAACATTTTATTCCAATGATTATTTGCAGCAAGTCATGTGATATGTGAAAACATCACCACCACAGTCAAGGATACATAATTCTTAAGAACTGATTCTGCACTAACAGTTCAATGTGAAATTGCTACAATTCATTTTTAAGGAGTGTCCATATAACAAATTTGTTGCATTTTGTCAGGGTCCTTAGTCAGGTCACACCACACAGGGCTTCATAAGAAGATAACTGTTTATTGATGAGTCCAGTACTAAAGAACTGTACAGCTTGTGTCAGGAATAGCCATCAGTACTACGTCCTCTGACTTATACTAAAATCAAACATCCCCCCATGTAAGCATGAGCCAATGGATAAATCTCGCACGTGTGGGCAAAGCAAAAAAGCCGTTAACTTTCCCAGCCAAGTAAACTGCAACTGGAGCCTCTACAAGGTCAAGCATAAGATAGCAAACAGTTGGCGAGCCAGAGAGAGCTGAGAAAGAAAAAGGAGGGCACCCCTCCACATTCCAGAACTATGACAGGGCTACCTGATATCCTGCCCCTCCCAACCCCCCCCCCCAGGTTTCTCCGGAAAGTGGCAGTGGAAGCGTTTAATAAAGCGGCGGGGGGGGGGACATGTTCCTTCACCACCCATTCTCAGTGTTGAGGACCAAAGTCCACCCATTCAATCAAATAAAACAGCTTGTTGCGTTGCAGCTTAGAGTCCAAGATATCAGCAACTTCATAATGCGGTTCACCTTGCACCATAAGGGGAGGGGGAGGGGGGTTGAAGGCCCTTAATGTTCTTGGTGGACACATAGACTGAGCCCTCAGGTTGGACGTCCCAGCTGTCAGAGCACTTCTTGTCCACCTGAATCTTGTAAGCCTGCTTGGCTTCGTCCAAGGTTTTACATAACACCGGCCAGGCATCCTTGAGGCGTTTACACTAGTCTCCCACCTCCCCCTCCGGCAAAGCAACCTCTGAGAGTAATGGGAGAGGTGGAGCCTTGTAACCAATGAAGGGGGACACCCCCGTGGAAGAATGACAGGCATTGTTATAACAAAACTTGGCTAGGGGGAGAAGCCCCTCCCAATCGTCCTGTTGGAAGTTTGTAAAACACCTATTGTTTGAGTGTTTGTTTGACACGTTCCATTTTCTGGTCCGTTTCGGGGTGATAGGCACTTCTCAAGCCCCGTTCCACCCCCAGAAGTCTCATCAGTTCCCCCCAAAACTTGGAAACAAATTGCACCCCCCCCATCAGAGATTATCTTCTGTTGCAAAGTGTGTAACCGGAAGACATGTTGAAGGAACACCTTAGCCAGAAGGCGAGCTGTCAGAAGCAACTTAAATGGAATATAATGAGCTTGTTTGGAAAACAAGTCCACCAGCGCCCAAAAAACCATTTTACCCCTGCTGGGGGGCAAATCCGTGATGAAATCCATGGAGATAACCTCCCACGGCCTACTGGGTGTGGGAAGGGGTTGCAAGAGACCTGTTGGCTTCCCTGGGCATGTTCTGCACATAATGCAGGTCTGACACGATTTCATAAAGAGGGAAAGATCCTTCCTCATTCCAGGCCACCAAAATTGATGCTGTAACAAATGCAATGATTTGACGAACCCCATATATCCCGCCAGTTTAGTTCCATGTACTGTGGCCATTATTTCGCCGCTCAGCACCGAAGGCACGAAGTTTGTGGCCGCAGTACCAACAGCCATTAGCCCTTTCCTCTACTTCCCCCTCTTTCGCCAATTCGAGGCAATCAGCATCAGAAAGGGCGGAAGCGAATTTACTCTCCCAACAGTTCTCGGACTCCGGGGGGGGGTTGCCTGGCTGCATGTCATCACTGCCCCTCCCAACTGTGAGGGCGTGGACATAGATTTGAGCACACCCTCCCTATGACTGTCATGCTGTGGGAGGCGGGATAATGCATCGGCCAGGGAGTTAGATTTCCCCAGGAAATGGTGCAGGGTGAAATTAAACTTGGAGAAGAAATCCACCCATCGGAGCTGTTTAGCATTCAAATTGCGGGGCGTGCGCATCACTTCCAGATTTTTATGATTAGTCCACACCTCAAAGGGCACCCTGGTCCCCTCCAACCAGTGCCTCCAGGTAGAAAGTGCTAATTTGATAGCTCCCGCATCCTTGTCCCAAACCAACCAATTACGTTCAGTGTCATTAAACTTCTGGGAGACATATGCAAGGGGATGAAGTCTCCCATCTCCCCCCTCTTGGAAGATGGTGCTGCCCATCGCAACATCCGAGGCGTCTACTTGCACAATGAACTTGTGCTTTCCGGGCCCTTCCCCTTAGTTCTTAATAAATCCATGAGCGGTAAGCTCACCTGGGCGAAGTTCGCAAGGAAGGACCCATACCCGTAGAAATGGGTGAACCTGAGGAATCCTTGGAGTTGCCTCTGGGTTTGAGGAGGTTCCCACCCCACCACATCCCGAACCTTGGCCGTATCTATCTCCAAACCCGTGGGGGAAATGTGGTATCCCAGGAAGTCTATCTCAGTACAATGGAAGTCACACTTTGACAGCTTGGCAAATAGTTTGTGCTTGTGTAATGTGTGCAGGACCTCCCGCACCAACTTAATGTGAGAAGGTTTACCAGGGGAGTAAATCAAGATATCATCAAGGTAAACAATGACCCCTTTGAACAAATACTTGTGTAACACTTTATTGATAAGGTTCATGAAGACCCCTGGAGCTCCTTGAAGGCCAAATGGAATCACTAGATACTCGAACTGCCCCAACGGGGTATTAAACACCATCTTATACTCATCCCCTTCCTTTATGTGGACCCAGAAATAGGCATCCCTGAGGTCGAGCTTCGAGAAGATTTTCCCCTTAGCCGCTTCGGCTAGGAGGTCCTTCATGAGGGGCATGGGGTATGCATTAGTGGTAGACACGGCATTCAATCCCCTATAGTCCGTGCATAACCTCAGCCCACCATCCTTTTCCCCCCAGAACAATACAGGTGCAGCAAAAGGGGAGGACGCCTGGCAAATAAACCCTCGGGCCAAGTTTTTCTCAATAAATTTGCACAGTTCCTCCTTTTCCCATGGACTCATGGTGTACAGTTTCCCTTCAGGCAACTTCTGGCCCGGAATTAACTCGATAGCACAATCTGAGTGTCTGTGAGGGGGCAATTCGTCCGCCTCCTCTTCTTTAAACACCCATGCCAGGTCCCAGTATTCCGGGGGAATGGAACTCAGCTCTTCCTCAGCAAGGCAAGCCCTCACCGGTTTGTCGGGAGGGCCCCCCCCACAATTCCTCCCATACATGCGTGTGGCATTTAGGTGAAATAAACTTAACTACCCCCTCTTCCCACAGAATATAGGGGTCGCGGTCATGAAGCTATGGGCTGCCCAGCACTAGGGAAGTGGGTGGCGGACGTGATGACAAAGGGCCGGTGCTCTCAATGCGCTCCCACTCCCATCCGTAAAGGCACAGTCTCATACTTACAAGGGTCTTTCATAGCCGACCCATCTATTTGGGTGAACGCAATGGGATCCAGGAGTTGGACAACTTTTGCCTCCAACCCTGTAACTAGTGAGGGGTTGATTAAGTCTCGACTGCACCCCGAGTCTATCAGAGCCCATACCCATACATGGGTACCCAACTCCGGATTCAGAACAGTCACAGTAACAAAAAAGAGGGAGGGGTATCCAC